AGCCTAGCCAAAGTCAGATGCCATCACTTTTCTGTTTCAACGGTGGCTGCCTTGGGAGCCCACCTCCCTGGTAGTGAGCTGGTTCTACCTTGGTTGGTTAGAGGAACCTTGGGTGAAGATTAAATCTGGAACAAGTGACCAGAGAGTTGAGGCGTCAGCATCCCTCCAGATGCCCAGGGGGCAGGGGCAGACCAACAGTAGCAGCATCCTCAGGAGGCAGCTCCCAGGGATGACGTCACTGATTTTTTTCCACCCACTCTCCAGCCAGATCCCTCAGGCTACTCTTCTGAGACTGAATACAATCCAGGCTCCTTCCAGAGGTCCCCCTCTGCCTCCATCAGCCAGGCTGTTTCCTCTCAAAGAATAGAGCAGGCTGGCACCACCGGTGAGGGGATAGGTGGGACCTCAACCCGCATCTTTCTGCCTGAAGATTCCAATGTTTCCATCACATTCCAGTATCCCCTGGACCCAGACCTGGAAAGGGAACTTGAAGTTAAAAGACACAAAGGTTCTCTGCATAGCAAAGCGAGTCAGTCTTCCTTATGTGAGCGTCTCATGGTACCTACCTGGAGACAAGGATAGAGTGAAAGAGAAAAGGAACAACACACACACACACACACACACACACACACACACACACACACGTCCCAGAAACTCACATCTGCACTTATTACCAGCACACTCTCAGGTCCATCAAGCCGAGGCAACTCCTGTCTCCAACTTAGCATCTTGGACTCTCCCATACATTGCTTTCAGACACTCAGACCTCTTGGCAGACACCCTCTCTTGCCCAGGCCCCTCGGTCACACAGACACCAGAGTCTGGTGAGCTAATATCTGACATTACTCTATTATTGGTACTATCTGTCATTCTTTCTCTTGAACTGAGCACCCAGCTTGGTTCCTGTCCAGGCTTTTGCCTCATATATGAGCTGTAAGGGGTTGATCTTACTGAAAGGCCTTGTTCTCTAGGGGCATTCCTCTCAAGGATCAGACTTACCTGTCCTTTCCTACAGACCAGATGGAGAAGGAGCTTAATACTATAAGCGGAACGGGATGGGGCAACCCCCATGACCTTGGTCTAGGGTGCTGGCGTGCCCCTGAGAGTCCAGCTGGTTCTAATAGTCCGGGTGTTCCCGTCACCTGCAAGGTTAGAGGATTGTAAGAGTCCTAGGCTCCAAACTGGTTCTGGGGCAAGACATGCTGTTCTCTGTCAATGCATCAGGGATCACGCTCCATTCAACAAGGAAGGGGAGAAGAGCATATGGAGATCCCCACAGAACCCCTATCTTGAGACTAGGCCAACACAGCAGAAGAGAGGCCCCTGATCTTTCTTTTACCTTACTGTGCCCAGGGTCACCTCCATTACCACGTGAAATGAAAGGAAGTTAGGCATGCTAAATTCTTTGTAGGAGTCTAGGCAGTTTGGATGCTCAACTTACTAGACCTGGATGGAGGTGGGGATGCCTTGGACTTCCCACAGGGCAGGGAACCCTGATTGCTCTTTGGGCTGAGGAGGAAGGGGGACTTGATTGGGGGAGGGGGAGGGAAATGGGAGGCGGTGGCGGGGAAGAGACAGAAATCTTTAATAAATAAATAAATTAATTAAAAAAATTCTAGTTCTGGGCCAGGAAGCTCTCCCTCAAGTCTCCACAGGGGGGCACTTATGTACCACCTACTGGTTCCAAAGGGACTAAGCTGCTGCCACCTGGCTTAGGGACCTCAGCTCTGCCTTGCTGGCTAGTGCTGAAAATAGTCTCTTAATCTCAGGATCTTAGAATAGCAAGGGGACCAGACCCGAGAGGTTCCCTGCCCCCAGCGCTGGGACACACAACATGGATGAAAGAGGGAAAGCTAAATTTAAAACCTCCTCCTTTTCCTTCGCATCCCTCATACAAATGATCTCTAAACAGTCTCACCTAAGAAGTGTCTTAAATCATATCACATCACAGAATAACTTCCTTAAAGGAGGAAGGGGCTATCTTAGCGGATTTATATTTCATTTAGTATATTACCATTAAACCTGTAACAAGACTTGTAAAAAGAAAATTGTGAAAATGGCAGGGATAAGGGAAATATCTGGAGAAATGGCTTACGGATGTTTCTAGGGGGCGCCATCTTTTCCCTGGGGATGAAGGAGGCAAGGGCTGATTGGGTTTTTCACGCTTTCATCCTGAGTAGCCTGTCTTCTTCCAGAGCTCATGAGGGGGAGGGCCAGGAGTGAGGTTAGAAGGGTTGGGCCTTGCCCCAGCCCATTCAGCAGCTAGACGTCTATCAGACTCGGGGGCAGCAGGTGACGGCTCTTTCATCCTCTACACTGACTTGGATTAACAAGTCTATGCCACGTTGCCCGTGTCACTCGCATTGCCAGGATGCACAGAAAGGAAGCAAGGTATCAAGATCCCAGTCCTCGTCCAGGAAACCCTCCTCTGAGTCACCCCAAGAAGGCACTCATCTGCCCATCTGTGTTAAACAGCAGCTGAGTTAGTCGACCACTACTTCCTTTAATCCCGGGCTTGCTGTTCTCTCTTTTAGTCTCTTCCAGGCCATGCCCCATGGGAACTCACTGCCATCGAGGTGTTGAGGGGTTGGAGTGGCACCCGGTTATGCTGCTCTCTCTTTTATCCGATTCCAGGTTGGACCTGAGGAGGCTCCCCCCAGGAAACCCACCCAAGCTCTTGATCAAAGACCAAGGTGTGCCACCGCCATGCCTGCGCTCTGGCACCTTCGCCTATATGCGTTTTCCTAACCATATACTTACGTTTAGATCCCTGACCTAAAGATCCAGGAATCTGTAACAAGCTCAGAATGAGGACCTGGCATCATAGTGGTTGGAGCTGTTTCCAAGATGATAGTCAAAGAAAACCTCAATGGTGGTCTAGACTCAGTGCTCTAAATGCTCAGGATACGAATGCTCAGGATACGGACTGGGTAAAGACCTTGTCTAGTAAGTTGAATTCAGAATGCCTTATTTCAGTCTCATTTCCAAATTCTTTTTTTTTTCTTTTTGCGTGGCTGCAAACTGAGCCTTGTGTCTCACACATACTAGGCAAACACCCTACTACTGAGTCATAAGCCCTTGCCCCTAAGGACTTCTTAGAAGCCTTCATTTTTCCAAGAATTCTTTTATTTGTTATTTACGGATGTGGGAGTGGTTGTGCTCCGTGGGTGCCCACACCCCTGAGGCCACAAGAGGGTGTCAGATTCCCTGCAGCTGGAGTTTCAGGCCTGTGACAGCTCAGCGTTGGCGATGGGAACCCAGCTTGGGTCCTGTGGAAGATCAAGAACTGTGGACCACTGATTCATCTCTACACCCTGGAAGGAATAAGTGAACTGTGTATAGGAGCAGCTGCCCCCTCTGTTCAGGCTGCTATAAAAAAAAAAATCCCTAGACTCAACGGTTATGAACAACAGGAATCTATGGCTCACAGTTTTAGAACGTAAAAGAGGGACAGGTGTCAGCAGATGAAATGTCATATGTGAGGACCTCCTCCAAGGTCGGAGGTTGTTCTTTTTCAGCCATGACGTCAGAGAGAAAGCAGGGAGCTGAGACTTGAATGTGAATTTTGAGGAATGAAAAATATCCAGGCTATTTTTTTATGAAAGAGATAACTTAGGAAGTCAGAGTTTAAAGTGACATGAAGGAGGAAGCCACAAGAGGAACCTTGATTTCCAGAGAAGCCTGGGAGTCCAGCGTGCTCACGCTGAGGAAGCCTGGGAGCCCAGCGTGCTTACTCTGAGGAAGCCTGGGAGCCTAGGGTGCTCACTCTCAGGAAGCCTGGGAGTCCAGCGTGCTCACGCTGAGGAAGCCTGGGAGCCCAGCGTGCTCACTCTCAGGAAGCCTGGGAGCCCAGCGTGCTCACTCTCAGGAAGCCTGGGAGCCCAGCGTGCTCACTCTCAGGAAGCCTGGGAGTCCAGCGTACTCACGCTGAGGAAGCCTGGGAGCCTAGGGTGCTCACTCTCAGGAAGCCTGGGAGCCCAGCGTGCTCACTCTCAGGAAGCCTGGGAGCCCAGCGTGCTCACTCTGAGGAAGCCTGGGAGTCCAGCGTGCTCACTCTCAGGAAGCCTGGGAGTCCAGCGTGCTCACGCTGAGGAAGCCTGGGAGTCCAGCGTGCTCACTCTGAGGAAGCCTGGGAGTCCAGCGTGCTCACTCTGAGGAAGCCTGGGAGTCCAGGGTGCTCACTCTGAGGAGCTGTGTCACTAACAAATCCTAAGTCATGAGCTCCTGAACATTCCTGAACTTGTAAATCTGAATGACTGCCAAACAGCTTGTGTTGGCAACAATCCTAAGCATCGTCTGCACCTTTTGGCAGAACCATCGCCATTCCAAAGAGATGGCATAGAAACCGTGGGTCAATCCACTGTGCCAGACATAAGCGTGGACATGCTCTTTGACAGATGCCATCTCCTGTCCCCCAGTGCCAACACCAGAGTTGTCAGGAACAAAGCCAGCGTCAGGCAGATCATTCATTTATTAACTCATCCATTTATTATTTCTTTCAGAAGATACCTGTTGAGTGTCTATTGTGTGTCTGCCTTGTCCAAGGTGATGGGAATACAGCAGGGAACAGACAGCAAACTCCCGCTCCTTCTAGCCAGGAGCACTACAGTGAACAAGGCAGATCTGTATGCTACTTAGTATACAGGACGGAGAAAAGTACTCGAGTGGGGTGTGTGTGTGTGTTTGTGTCTGTGTGTGTCTGTGCCTGTGTGTGTCTGTGTATATCTGTGTTTGTGTCTATGTGTGTCTTTGTGTTGTGTGTTTATGCAAGTCTCTGTGTGTGTCTGTGTATATCTCTGTGTGTGTTTGTGTCTGTGTGTCTGTATTTGTGTGTTTATGTAAGTCTCTGTGTGTGTGTCTGTGCCTGTGTGTGTCTGTATATATCTGTGTGTGTTTGTGTCTGTGCCTGTGTATATCTGTATGTGTCTCTCTGTGCATGTCTGTGTGTGTTTATGTAGGTCTCTGTGTGTGTGTGTCTGTGCCTGTGTATGTCTGTATATATCTGTATGTGTTTGTGTCTGTGTGTGTCTGTCTCTGTGTGTTTCTGTAAGTCTGTGTGTGTGTGCCTGTGTGTATCTGTGTATGTGTCTGTATGTGTTTATATGTCTATGTTTGTGCACAAGTAGCAAGAGTAAGTTGAAACTTGACATGAAGAGACTAGGCCAGACTCAAGTTCCAATCTTTGAGTCATGCCATACTCCATGACCATGCTAGCTAAGCAGACATGCAGCATGCTGGAAAAGACAGCACTCAGATCTGGCGGCCACAGGGTTTTGTTCTTCCACCGATACACCAGAGTGGTGGCCTTGGGGAAGTCATCAACCTTTTCAAGTTTGTCCCATAGTGTTGTGGGGACGTATGAAAATATAAAGTGCCCCCTGGGGACCTCATTCTGAGTGCCCTGCAGTTGCTCTTGCCTGCCCAACTCAGGATCACAGGGAAAGATGGACCCAGAAATCATGCTGAATTAGTGATGTATTTCTGTTTTCCTCTCCTCACATATTCACGCTGTGAAGACCCAGAGAACAGGACGGGTGAATTGCTAACCACTCCCTTATTGTGGATTCAGCCAGGCCACTTTCCTACTTGGTCACGTTGGACCTTGATTTACACTGACCCAGAGGTTACGCTTGTGACCCAGGCAGAGGCTGGGAATCTAGCTGGCATTTTGGCTGCCATCAGGTGTTCCTAGCTTCACTGTGTGACCCAGCAGGGACAGGGAATGCAGCCTGAGCATGTCTACCACGTCAGGCTCACCCTCAGCTTTTCTGCAGGCTCGTGGCATAGAAACACAGTCCTCATTCACCCGAGATTTCACAAGTAATGTAGCTGACCAGCGCACGCAGTGACCATGAGCCCCATGTGCTCAGTGCTCGCAACCTACCAAGAAACGAGCTGGTCACTTCCCAGACACCTTCCTCAAGACAGATGACATTCTGTTAATGCGCCACTTTAAAACAAGAGAACTGAGGGTCGGCAAGTTAAAGGAACAGATCCAAGTCCACAGCTCAGCAGTGAAAGAGCCCAGACTGAATTCAGGCTTGCTGGTCAGAAAAGCCAAGATGTTGTGTCCATGTGCTCCAGGCAGAGCAATGGGAGCAGAGCCAGGAACAGCCCTGCACCCCAGGTCATGGGTCCCCTTATTCCCTAACCCCATGAGCGAAGCTCACCATTTCAATGAATGGCTTTCCAGGAAAACACATCACAAAAGCCGGGGGACATCTGACAAGTTATAACTGAGCCATTCACCTCTGGGAAGCAAAGGAAACAACCTTGAAGACACCTGTGACCACCTACTCAATGCAGGCCAGGAGTCGCCCGTGCCTCACCACTGAGCACTGGATACTATGGCCATCGGGCTTCTCCTTAGCCATCCACTAACTGTGTGACGTCATATGTCTGGAAAGATGGTGGCGCTCCCGGAAGTACTCATGGCAAATGGGGCAAGTGAGAACTTCCTCTCTGCGTTTCTTCGAATGTGGGTCAGGGCCTCCATGCTCCCTTTTGTGGTGGGACCGCATGTGGAGGACCAGGTCAGCCGTCAGACGGAAGGCGAGGTTACACTTTGCACACCAGTTCTGAGTGGGCAAGCCTGGGGACGAGAGTGTGGGTGGCAAGAGAACCCGGCAGGCTGTGGCGGAAGGTGTCGAAGATATGGAAGCTTGCACCTGGGAGTGATCCAGCCATGGTGTGGGAGCCCCGTGGAAAGCATTGCAGAATAGAATGTTCTGGGACAGCATGTGCAATCTCCAGAAATCTCCCGTGAGCTTGAAAGCTGACAGCTGAGCCCAACATGGGATATCCACCGTAGTGATGAGTCCAGAGAGCTCCCATGGGCCCTCTGCGTTTCCACTGTCCGGAAACGCGGGGGAGCATGTGGGTTTCTCCACGGGACGCGAGGCTGGCCTCCTGAAAGCGCTTCTCTTCCCACTCCGGGCCGCACCCGGCCATATTGAGCACTCTGTGCCATCGACCGAGGCTCCGGGGAGATCCTGGGGTAGGGGCTGAGTGCCAAGCTGGCCTTCTGGGTCCTCTGGCTTCCTCTTCAGGGCTTGCATGTTGCCTGAGCTCTCCTGGAGACTGGACAGCTCTGTGAAGGAACCCTGCCTCTGCTCTGTGCAGGCCTTGTAGTCCAGAGGCCTGTCCATTCCAGCCTTGTCCAGTGCTGTTGATAGGCTCAGTTCAGAATGGGCCCGATCTTGGCCACCCTTCCCTGCAGCAGCTCCAGAGTCCAGGAGGCTTGCTTTCTTGAGCAGTCCTGCCTGAATCTGCTTAGGTCCCATGAGTCTCCATCTTTTGTCAACTGAAGGACTCAAAGAAGCTGCTTTTTCTTCAGCCATGTGATCAGAGGGACCTGACAGGCTAAGCAAGGTAGATGTTCCAGCGACCATTAGTCTATAGGGCTTTGGAGTTCCAAAGGACTGATCCCTAGCTCAAGGAGGAGTTATGTGATCAGAAAGTCCCCAGTGAAGCCCGGACTGGATGCACTTGACCACTGCAGAAAAGGAGAGCAACAGTGAGGTGGGCACTGGTCATTCAGTGTCCCCTGTAGGCTGACACCAGACAAACCCACTTTTCCTGGCCTTCCTTTGATGTCTGTGAAGTAGGAGCAGGGTCATCTGAGGAGAAAGAGAGGCAATGAGCTCAGATAGTTTAGACACCAGCAGCGCACAGAGGCAGCTTTCTGCCAGAGAGAGCCCTGGAGCAGTGACACCAGATGAATATGCCATGGCTCCATGCAGGGAAAGGCAGGGAAGCCTCAGAAACACCGATTGTGTTAACAAGTCTGGTTCAGAACCACAGAAGCTGGAGAGGTAGGGAAGGGAGCCTGCTCTGGGACAGAAAACGGGAGATCCTGACACTTACCAATAACCTGACCCTGCAGGGAGAAAGAGAGTACCACAGCTCCCCCTCCAGGAGATGTCTGGCCTTGACCGATCCAGAGTCCAGAGGAAGCCACAGGATGGGGGAGGCAATGTGGACAGTTCATGGCTTCACTACCTTGGTGCCTGTGGCATGCCTTTCCTTCCCTGTCTCCTACACTAGCAGCCCCTTTCTCTACATCACGACTCCAGCCTGCTTCCACTGGCTGTTTGGATTCCTCTGGACCAATCTTAGAGTCCTTGTCCCTGCTTTCCTCCTACTCCCACCCAAGCCTTGTATGGTCTGGTTGCTTTCCCTGTGGACCCTGCTCTGGCTGAGTCCATGCAGTGGCCACTGTTAGCTTTATGGGCTCTTTTCCCTGCTCTGGTCCCTGATAGGGAGTGGAGTCCTTTGGAAGTCAAGGACTTGATAGACAAGCCAAGGATTGGGGGAAAGGGTGGGTTTTTGTTGGAGGGAGACTTTGGGGCTGCTTCATAGAGACCTCGCTTTCACCTCACCTGGATATGGCCACGCTGAGTCACAAAAGCAAGCTATAGAGGGCTCACGGTACAAGTGGGTGGAGGAACAAGGGCAGCCACAGCGGGGTGCAACAGCAGAGGACGAAGGCCCCAGAGTCCCGAGGGATGCCAGTGCAGGGTCCTATGGACATTCTTCCCACACTGTGGGAGTTAACCACCAAACATGTGCTTAGAAATGACTTTTGCAAAGCCAAGGACAATGGCACAGGGTTTTGACCCTACTTCATGTTCTGGCTTTGTGGGAGCCTAGCCGGTTTAGATGCTCACCTTCCTAGACATGGACGGAGGGGGGAAGACCTTGGACTTTCCACAGGGCGGGGAACCCTGACTGCTCTTTGGACTGGAGAGGAAGGAGGAGAGGAGTGGGGGGAGGGGAAGAGGGGTGGGAGGAGGGGGAGGGAAATGGGAGGCTGGGAGGAGGCTGAAACTTTTTATTCCTTTTCTCAATTAAAAAAAAAAGAATAAAAAAAAAAGGAAGTGACTTTTGCTCCCAGTGCAGCTTATAACTCAGCACCACTTCCTTTAGGAGCTGCAGATGTCTCCTACTGTGCAGACATGAGGGTCGCTCAGGAGCCTGTCTACCAAGCAAAGCCATGGCCTCAGCACCCTGCCCTCTCCTGCCTTAGTCACCATATTGCCCAGCTGCAGCCCTAGGCACAGCCTTCCCCGGGCAGGATGAGAGCCACGTCTACTCTGCTGACCTCTCCGGCCCAGAAGAAAAAATTCTACGCTGCTGTCTACCCTCTGCAGCCCCCAGAGGAGTCCTAGGTGAGGCATACAGCAAGCAATCAGAGGATACTGTCTGGACCAAAAGGCCCCCAAGCTAGCCAAAAAGAGGAGGGAGATTATTGCCTCTTGGGACAATAGAGCAGATATTTGATCGTTTATGTCACCTAGCATCTTCCCAGCCAAGCCCTGCTCCTACTACTGAGGTTCTCCGTTGCTACTCGGTCCCTGTCTTTCTCTACTCCAAGTCTACAGCTATCCCTCTGATGGTGGGACTTACTCTAGCCCCTTATCCTAATTAATTCCCTCTCTGAGTTGGCCAGAGTGACTTTTGCCACTTCTATCCAAAGCAGTCTGACTGTTCTAGAAGTGACAACCCCACCCAACTCCGAGAGCTCGCCTCCAGGACTCTGTCAGGGAGGATGTCAACACAACACACACTCACATGTGCACACGTGTGAGCAAGCACACAGGCCGAGGCTAGCACCCAGTGGCACCATCCCTGCAGCCGTCAGTACTGGGAGAGCCTCTACCGTATTAGCCAAGTCTAGACAGCGTCAGCTGCCAGCTTGACTTTTCTGACAATTCTAATGTGTTTAGACCCACATTAGCAGGTTCTCTTGCTGGTTGGTGGGCTGATTTTAATGCCTGTTATCAGCTGTGCTAGGCCACTTCAGGTACTGAGGAACAGGCAAGGGCTTCTATAGGCGCTAGTGACCAGAGGGTCAGAGGAACACTTGGCAGGTGTGGGCTGTGTCTGGCCTCTGCCTCACACTGAGGCACAGTCCACTCTCCACCTGGCCTTGTTCCTGTCTAGAGCCTCCTCCTCGACACTCACCAGACTCACTCTTGAGCCATCCCACAACTAACTCTACTCACTTCTCCTCGACCCATGTCCACTGTCTACTTGTCCCAAAGCACTGGGCATCCACAGATGAACTAGCTTCTGACTGTGCCCTGGAGGTGCCATGGTTGAGAGGGAGACACCTAGGAGGCAATGCCATCGGCTCTCTGAGGAAGGCCTTCAGCACTGTTCCATCTCTGTAGGCCCATCCATCTGGTTCCAAAATTAAGAAATAGAACCAGACCCTTTCCTTTCACAGGTACTGGCAGAGTCACAGTGATGACTGGACCAGCATTCTAGAGGCTTCATCACTGGAACAACTTCCCCTGAGCCAGAGTATGCGGAAGTGACTAGGCTCCTTACTCCCCGGGACTCGGGGGCTAGTTGGGCAGCTGCATCCACTAGCTGCCTTCTGCCTCCCTGTGCAGGGAGCACACAGCACACACATCTCCCACCTGCCCCTTTCTTTCAGAAGTCCCCAAAGAGATTGAAGCAACATCAACCTTCTGAGAGAGTTAAAATACAGAAGTTACCCAAAGTGCAGGAAAGGGGACCTCAACACACTCTTCTCTGACTAAAGCGTTGGTTTGCACAGCCGCTATGGCAAAAATAAATGCAAACACAGTCGTACCCCCATGTGGGTCTGGGTCCCCAAGACCCTCATCATGCGTACTGTGTGCTAATGGGATTAATTGGATCACCTCGGCTGCATCTAGCATCAGACATCATGTTGACCAGTATTTTGAGAGTGCAGAGGTGACAGCAGGCACAGGGTAACCCTGAGCAAAGCAGCCAGCCCCTCAGTGTCCCAGGCCTCTACCTGCAAAATGTGCTAAAAACATCTCCAAGTCCATGCCTGATCTCCCAGGTGTAATTGGTTGATAAATTGCTCCTCCCTCTCTCAAATAATAGCAGGTCTGTTTGAATCCCCACAAATTTCTATTCCATGAGCCCAGACAGACACACATGTACATTTACATAGGCACACTTGTGCGCACACACACAAACACTTAACACAGACACTTAACACAGACAAACACACATATACGTTCACACAAACACCAACACACACATGTTCGCACAAACATATTCATACACATTAATACAAATACTCCCACGATACACTAAAGCACACACTCTGTCTCCTCTCTAATCTCAGATACTTCTCCAAAGTCAGCTGGGTCCAGATAATGTCATATCCAAGGATGTTCAAGAACCTGCATCAAAATTCCCTGATCTCACCTCTGCAGAGACCCTATAGTGCCACCTTCATGGTCCAGGCAGCATTTTTCAAGCAGAGACAGCTCATCCCGGGAGCCAGAACTTTCAGTGGCATGCGAGCAGAAATGACTGCCCTCTTCTGAGGGGCATGCAGGGCAGAAAGTTGGTCACCAGGATGCTCCATTACATAAAAAGAAAAGTGGTGATAATCTATTTAAGTGTGTATAGACCAGCAGTTCCTTGCATTTGATTTCATTTAATTTTCACACAAAAATTGTGGTGCGTTGTGTTTCTCAACTCAACATTTTTTGCCAACCTATCCCATGTCATTTTTGCTCAACTCCACAGGGCAGCTTTTGACACCACTGTGAATCTGGAGAATGCCAGATTTTGAGTTAGAGATCATGTCCCATTGATGCCATCATCCCAAACCTTAAAAACGGGGTGGGGGAGAAAAGGGGAAAAGAATAATGTTACTAAGGAGAAACCGAAAGAATTGGAATAGACAAAAGCAAACTAAAACTACATAGAGGAAGGAACAACGAAGGGTGTGTGTGTGTGTGTGAGAGAGAGAGAGAGCTATGTGTGTGTGCTTAGATGAGAGTGCACACCTATCAGCATGTGCATTTGGATGTACATGCCTTGGTACACGGGTGTGTGCACATGTATGTGGACACGTGGAATCTTTGCCTGCCTCCCTGAGACTACCTTTGGCTTGTGAATCAGCATTGTTTGGTGTTAACTGCAGGCAAGTCTCAGGATTTCCTGTAAAGCCTGTCCCGGGCCCTGCTCCCACATCTACCTCCATGAAAACTGCTGGATGGAAGCCTCTCAAAATGGAATATCATGTGAGGCTGCTATGGCTTACTCCTGCCAGAACCCTGCTGCCTCCGTGTGCTCACCTCTCCTGTATGGACTCCCAGCCCTTCCTTTAACACTGGCGTCTGTCTGAGGGCCGGGGTCAATCTCATTCTTCTGCAGCTGCATCTACATGCCCTCATCCCTGGACTTCCCAGATAGCCATCACAGATGGGGGAGCTCATCTCCACATGCCGACCACAGAGCTCTGTGGGTCGGAAGCCTGACCCCGTCTCCCACCTCACCTGCACCCCTGCCACCCTGTGTGTCTGTGGACCCGCGCCCTGCCCCTGCACAGCTGTTTTCTGGGCAGACTGGAACTGGCCCTTCCCCTTTCTCCTCCCGCAGACGCCAGCTGCCCTAGGCAGTGACGGATCTATGCAGCCCTTGTTCCTTGCTCTGCACCTCATATGAAAAGACTCTTTGTTGTCCTGGGCTATCCTCAATGGCCTCAGTTCATCCCGGGCTCTCCATCCTGACACTCTTTATGGGTGCGCATCACTCCATCATTGTATCTGCTCCACTAAAAGACTTTTCTTCTCCTTCTTGGCTCTGTTCACTCTGGTGTCCACAAGACACAAACTGAACAAAATGGTGCAGAGCCACTCGCTCCATGTTCTTCTTTCTGGAAAAAAAAAAGATGACATACTAAGACCCTCTTACGTTTCTCGGAGTCCTCAGATCATATGACAATCCTATGATCCGGAGTGCTTTCTGACACCAGGATCCCCAGATCAACAAGGTCCATGGCCCATCTTTCCTGCCACAGATACTTCTCCCCGTAGCACCTATCTCGTGAGCTGCGAATCAGGGTACTGCTATTGACTAACACAGCAAGTGCTACATTTTGAGAGATCAGTCTGTTTCCAGTTTTATTACTCACGCTAGGGTACAAACTACAGCCTCATCGGTCCAATCTCTAAAAGGCTCTGGTTACACTCTCCCAAGCAGCCTCGCTGTTCCCGCTACTGTGGAGCCCCATTTACATCATCAAGGTCAAGTGCACAGATTCTAGGGACAGAAGACCTGGACTCCATCATTCTCTGCCATTATCCGCACTAGGATTTCTGCTTCCCCCTCTGTAAAGGGAACGTGTGGATACTCTACCCCCATGGACTGCCATGAAGATCGATTACAATGGCCTATCTAAAGTGCCAAGGAACCTGGCTCAGCACTCAGTGCGAAGACAAATTGGGTGTCATGCTTATCACAAAGTGACAGTCACCTCATAGCTACCTTTCCATTGCTTGTGAACTCAAAGAAACTAGCACACGTTGCTGTTAAACGAATAAGCAAATAGCAAGGGCACTTCTTTCCTTGTGCTCTGTTTATAGACGCTAAGATTCTTGTTAAACTGGATGCCTCCGAGTCTGAAAGTCCTCTGAACACTGTATTAACTCTCATGGGTC